TATATATATATATATAGTCCAAGCCAGGAAGGCGAACATATTCAGGGTGAGTCTAAATTGCTGCGAGAATTCATGATCATGTTAGCAATTTAAGACTTTTAAACATTTGAGAAATATTATTAACTTCAAACGTAAAATACAAATGGAGAAGAAAAACATCAATCACAATCGATACAAAGTCCTCAAGCTATATTTGTATTTCGAGCAGCAAATTCGACATCAATTGATATCCCTAGTCTTGTTGAATTGTGGAAGTCAAATCATTTCACGGGCCTGGTGAAATGAAAAACTACGAAGAGGAATTCACATGGATTTAGGAAGGGCCTGGATGAAAACAAGAGAAACAAGAATTTATGTTTCATTTTTCCCAGCTTTGACAAATTCGAGTGGAACAAAAAAAAAATTGAGTTGCCTCATTTTTTCCGAGCTTGGACAAGAAATAATGGGGATCTTAGAACATAAAGGACTAGAAAACACAAAAAATGGAGAATCTAGAGAAGTTTTCCTATTGTAAAGGAAAAGTGTTTGATTTTGGTTTACAAATATGTCCTTTGACATTTGGAGTTTGCAAAGGTAGGCTTGTATATTGCCACATAAGAAAATATATAAGAAAAATAATTGAAAAAGAAAATATTAAAAGAGGTAGGGACATTTACTTAAATTTAATTTGTAAATGGCCATATCATTCTAAAAGCTCACATTTAAGTGCTTACACTAACCTATATTTGGTCAATTAGTTTTTTGGCATTTTACAAACTTGTTTTTAGTTTTATGACACTACCTCTTCTTTTACACATGAGAGATTTACTTTTACACATAAGAAATCTTTTATTTACACATAAGAGATATTAAAAAAATATTTTTTTAAATTCAACATTGTAAAAGGCCAAAAAACCTAAAACCTCGTAAATTGTAAATTGTAATGCCCATTACAAAATAAAGTGCTTTTTACCAATATTTTTTCCATTTACGTCTTGTGGTAGTTGTAAGAGTTAATAAACGAGGATACTGTTCTTTTCATTTTGTAATAACGGGGAATTTAGGAGGATATGATGGTAAACTTTGAATTAGGGTTTTTATCCAGCCGCTCTTCACCATATTTTTTTTTGTTCTATATAAAGGGGCATCGGCGATGTAAATATCTACACACAGAAAATCGTTTCCATCATGTATTATGTGAAAGTCGCAGGATTAGGGTTTTTGGGAAGCTTTTGGTGTGAGCGGAGTGGCAAGATGTCATATATGTATGTTTCACAAAAATTGAAATCTTGCCTACTCCGCCTATAACCATGGCTTCCAACAATTTCTCCCTTTCCTATAGTTTCTTGTTACAATTTTTCGTTTATATTTTAAGAGCTGTGATGAGATCTGGAGATAGTCATGCACCACTCTTACAAAATTTATTTTTTGAGTGATGATAAATTTCTCATACCCATTTTTGTTTCTGAGCTCTTATACATTCTTTTCGATTTACCAATAAATGAATTTTTTATTCATAGGGGGGAGCCGCGTGATTTGATCTCTCTTGTAGAAAGATCAAACTATGATGCGGACAGTACCATAGCCTAAAGCTTCTGGGGATGAACTTTGATTTCTGATGGCTCCTTTTACAGTTCATATCATTTTTCTCAAATTTACTTGATTTTATTTTATTATTTACATTTGGTTTTTGAACATCTTATTTCAAATTCCTGAGCCCCTGACTAGCTTGAAGGAGAAAAAACTAATGGAAATTATGTAGGAAGTGGAAAGGGAGGATGTATTTGGGAAGCTTCTGGTGTAGGTGAGGCGGAAAGATATCATATATATATTTTTCCGAACGGAATTATAGGACTTGGTATCTTTCCGATTCCACCCATGCCAGTGGCTTCCAATCTGTGCTCCCTTTCCTGATAATCCTCCAATTGAAAGATCATGTCTTGGTGACGTGAATTCTTGTTTGTGGTGAATCGGATGATTAGTATTAAGGGTAGTTTGGTTGGAAATAAGTTATGCCAGGATTAATTATTTCGATAATACTTTAATTGAAAGATCATGTCTTGGTATGACGTGAATTCTTGTTTGTGGTGAATCGGGTGATTAGTATTAAGGCTAGTTTGGTCGGAAATAAGTTATGTCAGCATTAATTATTAATCCTCCAATTAAAAGATCATGTCTTTGGTATGACGGGAATTCTTGTTTGTGGTGAATTGGGTGATTAGTATCGAGGGTAGTTTGGTTGTAAATAAGTTATGCCAATAGTTAATTATTTTGAAATTAGTTATTTCGGAATTATAATATTATTTTTACTATTTATGGTAGAGTGAGATAACAATTTAAGAATAATTAATCTTGAGATAATTAATCTTATAATTACTTGTTTATCAACTAAACAATCCCTAAGAGTCTATGCTCGGTTGAGATGGTGCTGTGATTTGGTTTTATTTGAGAATGTAATTACCTTTAACAAAGAGTGATACTCATAAAACCGCATGTTCTTTTAACAATCAGTGATGACTTGTGATTTGTGAAGTAGTAGAAGGAAGAATAGCTAGTATAATAGCCATCATTGAGCAAAACTTTTTCCTCTAATTGTATGAAAATAAAAGGAATAATGCTACTAAGAATTGATTGATAGAAGCTCAAAGTTTATTTTACTAGAAATTATCCCTATTTTTGAGGATAAAGGTCATCTCAAATCCTCGCCTTCATTTTCTATGGAGTAAAGTTAGTCCAATTATTAATCTACTTTTTACTCGCGAGAAAGAATATTTTATTTTATATATATATATATTTTTAATATTACAATCTTTTAGCTGAAATATATAAATGATCCTTTTAAATTGTCAACAACGATCAAACAACTACCTTAACTAACCCTATTATCATTTAGATACTTCAAGTGTCTATTAAGTAGATCAAGTAAATATTTGAATGCAGTACATCGTTTGTGTGAGTTACACTGCCAATGACGTGTTAAATGAGCCAATTAATAAATGACACTAGGGGTGTTCAAAATCGAACCGAAATCGAAATCCGAATCGAAACCGAAGCTTAATGGCTTATTGGTATCGTGTTAACGATTTAACGGATGGAGAACGAATTGTATTTTTTTTACTAACGGCTTATTGGTTTGGGGGCGGATTATTTAATTTTTTTAACGGATAATTCGTTAACCCGTTAAGAATATATATATATATATTAAATAATCAAAAACTCTTCTTCTTTCAGTACTCTATCTCTATTCTTTATTACTAATTTAATATTAGACATTTAGAAACCCTAACACCTAAATTTCATCCAACAGCCACCAACACTCTATCTCGTCGACTTTCATTACTCTATCTAACGCCAAAAATATATATAATCGTTTATCCACACAAATTGGTTTTAATTAAAATTTGAATCCAAAGTGACTCTATCTCTATTCTTTATTACTATTAGAATAGAGACATATATACTCTATCTCTATTCTTTATTACTAATTTACTATTAAACATTTAGAAACCCTAACACCTAAATTTCAACCAACAGCCACCAACACTCTATCTCGTCGACTTTCATTACTCTATCTAACGCCAAAAATATATATAATCGTTTATCCACACAAATTGATTTTAATTAAAATTTGAATCCAAAGTGACTAATTTTGTAATTGTTTCAAGTCTATCCCTTTAGAAGCCCAATTTTCATGACCCGCCTGGCCCAACCGGATCTCCCCTCTCTTTAAAACATCCATTTTTCCAAACCCTAAGAAAAAGACAGACAGATCCCCCTTTGAAAATCCTAGCCGCCTGGTCTCTTTCCTCACTCGCCCATTCCCTTTTACGCAAAAAGAAGCCGAGAATTCGCCATCATGCACACACATCTCACCTATGAAAAAAGTTAAAACAAAATCCCTGAATTCCCATTTTTCTACATCCGGATCTGAAGAAGAAAAACGAAAAAAAAAGATTAAAAAGGTTTTCTGATTTTTGTTGTGTTACTTGGAGAATTTATGGGTTTCTCATTTGTTTTTGGATTGAAGTTGAGGTCGACATTGTTGTTCTTCTGCGGTTTGCTATCAAAATCGTAGCTGAACTTCCTTTATCTCCATTTCTGCCCTTTATCAACTGTTTCAAGCTCTATTTGTCAAGTATTTTAGGTACACATTTCTGAATCTGTACTATTTCTCCATAAAAATGGCTGAAATCATGAATGAATTTGTTTCTGATGTTCCATCTCCATTTATGTGACTGTTTTTCTTAATAAATTGCTCATTATATTTATATATGATTTTGTTAACGAACCAAAGGGACGGCTGCCCGTTTCAATTAAGTTTAGACCATTGGAGTCTTGTTAAATATTAGTTAATTGAGATTATTTTTTTTTTTCGAAATTGTTAATGGGCTTTAGGTGTATGCATACTAGTTAACAGTAATATTTATCACAGTCTCTACTTCGTTGCCTAATGCTAAAATTTGGTGTATGTATATTTTTTACAGGGATCTACTCACTTATGGATTAAGCTGTTGTTTGAATTTTGAAGCTGCAAAAATTCAAGCATTGTTAGGCGTTAGCTGCAGGACAAACATTTCTGTGTAGTCTGCTCACTTATGGATTAATCATTTTGAAGTATGTATTCTGGACTCACTTTGAATATAGACTAGAATTTTATCATTTCAGAATTAATGAGGGAGCATTGACTTTTTCTTTGCAGTTGTGGGCAGAGGAAAGACATATGTGTTCTGGACTCATCTGTAATGTAGTTTGCTTTGGGATGTAATGGACTCATCTATTGTATTCTATAGACTGGAATGTAGTCTGATGAGCATAGGAATTTTAGTTTGAGTCACAATGGTCAGCAAACAATTAATGCACGGAATATAGATTGAATTAGGCCGATAAACTGCCCGATAAGAGCTAAACCGATACCAATCCGCCCGATATCTTATCGGTTGGCTAGCGGATTAATACATTTAAAAGCCGATAACCGATAAGCCAAACCGTTAAGAGTAAATAATCGCCCAATACACCCGATAAGCAGCCCTAAATGACATGTGTAATTTGTCATAGAAATTTGATACATATAAATAACAAAAGAAAAAAAAATACATTTAAAGAAAAAAAACCCATTCCTTACTTTTCTTTCCAACAAATTAAACACAAAATACAAATAAGAAACAACAAAGAACTCCTCTCATGTGACCTTTCGTCGGAAAATTAATCTCCAATCAAAACTGAAAGAAAGGATTCTATTGGAATCTTCAACCTTCTCTCTCCACTATTTTCTTGATTATAAATTCGGGCTTATATCTACTGATTCAAATAATAGGTTGTTGTTTATGTGTTTCTATTGGAAGGAAGGTGTTTTCGAAGTTGTGTTTGTTGCATTTTTTTTGCTTCTTTCAGTTGGGCTCGGGACTGGTATTGGGTCGATGAAACTAGGCTGAGCTTCGGAGGTTTTGGACAGTGGAGTGTTATGGTGAAAGGTGATAGTTCAGGGGCGGATCCATGTGGAGGGGTATGGGGCACGTGAACCCATGCACCCCTCCCTAAGTTATGCATTGCATTGGTATTTTTCAAGAGAATACTTGTAGTTGCATGTGGGAACCCCATAGTGCCCCTTTGGCCCTCAAGTCTAGGGATATACCATATCTTTTAATTTAAAGCCAGTTTTCTATTTCTTCTTTCTTTTCTATGCCCGATCTTTCTTTTTTGTTTCAATTGAAATTCACACTCTTCTTTCTTTTCTGTTTTTTCCCCTTCTTTCTTTTTCTATTTTGGTTCACTCTTTTACCTATCTTTGGATTAAATTCTTATTTTTCTATTTTCTTTGTTGGCTTCCTTTGCCTTTCTCTTCTTTTTTATTTTCTACATTTTTTTGTTTCAGGGTTTCAAAACTCTAAAAAAGTGAAATTCTAAGTTAGTTTGAATTTTTTCAATATCAAATTCCCTCTTTCTTCATTTACCACTCTCTTTTTGAATAGTTGTTAAGTTTTATTATATAGAGCTAAGTATTTGTAACCATATTTGCTATGATATAATTCTCCAAGGTAGGAAAACTATTATTGATATTTGTCGAAATGATGCGCTTGTGTAATAATAATATTGATTATAGTTTACTTATTAAGCTATTGTCATGGCAAAATTTTAGAGAATCAAATCAACTAATAGTGCACCCATTCTCATAAAATCTTGGATACGCCTTTGTGACAGTTTCTGGTGATTTACGGTGATTTAGTTGGAGCTTTAGTGGCTGATTTTCATGGCCTCTATGGTGGTTTCATGGTGAATTGCAGGTGAGATGGTTTAGTCACGAAGAAGAGAGACTAAGCTGTTGTTTCTTGTTTTTTTCAAAGAAAAAAAAAAATTAGGCCGAAAAAATTCTATTCACGAGCTCAAAATTTTGTTAGCAAACACGAATATGCCATATCAGCAATATGTGTTTACTTGATCTACTTAATAAACACTTGAAGTGTCTAAATGATAAAGGGGTCAGTTGAGGTGTTTGTCTGATCGCTGTGGACAACTTAAAGTGGTCATTTATGTATTTTGCCTATCTTTTATTTAAATTTTATTTTATTTTTTCTATTAAAGAAATTCTATATTTTTTTTCTTTTTTATATATTCATCACATATAATTTATATTTCTTTCATATATAACCATTTAATATAAAATTATTTGATGTATAATGTTTTTAATAATATAATTTGTAGGCAAATATTAGAGATTATATATATTAACGGATAATTCAAATAAAAGTAAAATTATTGAGATTCAAGATAATTAAATACATATTATATTATGGTAAAATTCAGATTAAATACTACATAAATATTCAATTTTCACCTCTAGTATGCTCCCATAAATGATCTAAATATTTTATATTTGCACCACTCATTTTTTGAGATGATTATATATTTTTTGTACAATTATAACTTATAATAAAATTAACTTACAATTTTACATAAAAATAATAAATGCACGAAAAATTAATTTATCAAAATTATACGCCAAAGTTAAGATGTAAAATGAATATTATAAAGGTATTACATAAACATAATTAGGTATATATACAACAACAACAACAACAACAATAACCCAGTATAATCCCACTAGTGGAGTTTGGGGAGGGTAGTGTGTACGCAGACCTTACCCCTACCATGAGGTAGAGAGGCTGTTTTCAATAGACCCTCGGCATCCTTCCCTCCAAGAACTCCCCACCTTGCTCTTGGGGTGACTCGAACTCACAACCTCTTGGTTGGAAGTGGAGGTTGCTTACCATCAGAGCAACCCCTCTTGTCTATATAAAGATATAAATTAAAAGAGTTAAATAATAAAAATAATAATAAAGTAATATGGAATAGTAATGGAGGAGATGAATAGTGTCACTCCAAATTTGGAGTGACACTATTCACCCCTCATTTTGCAGCAAAAAATATAGCAACGTTGGAGACTAATTACTCCAAAAACTACCTGCATTATAGCAAATGTAGTTGGCGTTGGAGATGCCTTGAGATGAATAGTGTCACTCTAAATTTGGAGTGACACTATTCATCACCCATTTTGCAGCTAAAAATGCAGCAACGTTGGAGACCAATTACTCCAAAAACCACATGTATTATAACAAATGCAGTTGGTGTTGGAGATACCTAGTGTCATTCCAAATTTGGTGCGACACTATTCATCTCCTCCATTACTATTCCCTATTCCATTATTATTATTATTTTTTATTATTTAACTCTTTTAATTTATCTCTTTATATATATCTAATTATATTTATGTAATATCTTTATAATATTAATTTACATCTTAACTTTAGCGTATAATTTTGATAAATTAATTTTCGTGCATTTATTATTTTTATGTAAAATAAAAATAGTATAAGTCATAATAGTATAAGTCATAATTTTATTAAGGTAATTTTATTATAAGTCATAATAGTACAAAAAATACATAACCATCTCAAAAAATGAATGGTGCAAATACAAAATATTAGATGTTGCTAAAATTGAAAGGTGCGAATATAACATATTAGATGTTGCAAAAAAAAAAAAGTAAAAATTGAAAATACATTAAATTAAAATACACAAAAATTGAAACTACGGTAAATAGCATAATAACTGATGTTTCAAGGGTTAATTTGCAAACTTCTTCTCGTTTTTTCTCTCGGTACATGTTAACGTGGCTTTGCTAACGTACGCAACTGGACACCATCGGAGGAAGAGGAAGACCTAAACAGAATTCTACAAAAAGTCCGTCCACTGATCCGAGATCCACTGATGCAAGGAAAGCAGTAATGGAACTTTTTGTCTCACCCAAAGGTGTGAGAATTAAGGAGCCAGATGAGAACGTCATTCCGAGGAACACGACGAGTGAGTAGAGTAGTATAACCTCAGGTCAAGCAATCAACAATGGTAAGCAGAAAGCATTGATGACAACACCTGAAAGTAGTGGTGCATGTCACAGATCTGGGAGCGGAATGGCAGAGATGAACTCAAAAACACCAAATACTAATGTAACAGTGCCATGAAAATCTGGTAAGGCTGAAAATCCTAAAGACACTAACCAAATGGTGAAGGCAAGTGGCATTCAATCATGGGTTAATGTAGTAGTAGGGAGCAAGCTTGCATTGAGAGGAATGAATCTTCAATATATCGCACTAATGATACATGATGGGGAGAAAATTGTGCAATTAGACCTAGAGGATGTTGAGCAGGAAAATGAAAAATGAAGTACAACTATTATTCATTATGTCATTGGGAATTCACCATCCATAGGAGCAATGGAACGATTCCGTGCTTCAGTAGGTAAGTACTCCATGAAATCCCAGATCTACTATCATAATGAAGACTACTTTGTAATTCAATTTGCAAATCTGGAGAAAAAAAACCAAATCTTGTACACTGGGCCTCATACCATCAACAATCATCCTATTGTAATGAAGTCATGGACACTAGAGCTCAATTTGTATGAAGAAGTTCTTAGGACCATTCCACTATGGGTGAAGTTTCCAAATCTTCCCCTAAATTGCTGGAGCATAAAAATACTAAGAAAAATTGGTAGTGTTCTGGGTAATTCATTATATGCTGATGATTGTACAACCAGTACAATTAGAATATCTTATGCTAGAATGCTGATTGAGATGGACATTACCAAACCACTACCTAGAAGGGTGAAGCTGCAGGACCCAATGTGAAAAATAATTAAACAAGAGGTAACCTATGACTGGGAACCCACATACTACACCACATATCTACAGATGGGACACAGTTGCAATGAGAACATAGTGCAACAAACACAAAGGCATGCATTGATCTCGTCCAATTTCACACCTCAATTAAAGGTTATGAAACGATCGATGCAATAATAGTACCCAACAAGAGTCAGGGTCGAATTCCGCAGGGAGCTATATATGGGAGTTAGGGGTATATATTGTAGCGTGTGAGTTTGATTATCTTAATTTACACTTTAACAAATTGGGATTATTTTAAAGTCTAATTTAAATCTAAGATTGAAAAATTGAGAAATAAATCTAAGAGATTATTTTTTTTCAAGTTTGTAAAAAGCCTAGGGCTATGACCATCACCTAGGTGTTTGCCTAATGAGATATAAACCTTAATGCTTGTTTTATTGATCGGGGTGTATTATAGCAATCAACACTCAATTATCCACTCAATACCTCTCGGTGAGAGAGTGATTTTGCTCAATTTGGCTTTCTCAAGTCCAAATGGGTATTGAATAAAACGGTTGATAAAAGATCAAGTCGGGTTATTACTATCTCTAGGTTGAGCCATTTAATTGGGATTATCAATCTCTCGATTGACCCAATTTCTTATTAGCCAATTTTTTCTAGACTAAGTCTCTCTTTCACAAGTAAAGACTAAGTCAAATAGGCATGAACTAATATTTGCAACCATTAATTTTACAAATTA